CATATCAAAATTTTTGTTTCTAATTCTTCGTGCTGAATTTTCTAAGTGTTGTATTCATACTGTACTAAATTATTTTTGTCCCGTACGAATTCTGATATGTGAATCATTATTTTGGATTGAATGCATGAAGTTTTGATTTTTTAATATATATCGTACTGTACGATATTGCTATCATCCCATATGATCTATATTCATTCATCTGTATGCATGTAGAAGGTTATCCAGGTAGAATCAGTTATTATAACAAATCGTACATATGAAATTTTATTTCATATGTATGAACCACACATCATTCTCTATGGGGGATAAACCTAACTGTCATTAAAATGATCTTAAATAATTGATCGTCCTTGACAAACACCTATTCGTTTTTACGATTGTGTTGTCAAAAAGTTTGTACGAAAGGATGCTTCATAACTTGTTTGATTACAAAAAATCATTTCATTTTAGACGTTATCATTCATCCATACAAAATTATCTTTATCATGTACGAAATAATTATTGTAATGTACTAATCACATTTTGTACGTATGAAGGGTTGTTGTTTTTTTAAATAGGATGGCTTTAGAATTCATTTTCATTCCCTTTAACATCCTCTTTCAATCCTTCTCATCTTAGAAATGACAAGTTCTAGCAAGCACAGTATAGTTTTCTAAGGGTTCATCATCCAGGGGTGAAGACGAAAACTTTCTATCTAGAACAAATGATGATTCACTATAGGTTTTCTGCTGCAAAAATCACTCTGTCCAGACTTCTGATTCATGATGATATCCATTTTCAAGTAATGTCTCTTTTTGCCTCAATCCAATTTGCCTTTATTATGACTATGATCCATACATACCATAAAGAAACATTTCACTACTTATTGGCAAATATGAGTTTTAGCGAGGATGAGAGTAGTATAAGATCATATGTCCAAAAGAAATGGGTAGAGATCATTAAGGAAGATCTACGAACATTTCTGCATCTAATGACTCAAGGAACTAGCGTCCACACTATGACCTCGAAATATGACTATGATTGATCTGAAATAAATAAAACTCTTAGAGGGGTTACTCAAGTTGGTCACCTGGGTAGAGTCTATTCTTTAAATCAAATTGTAAGAGTAATCCAGCATGTCCTTAGAACTTCAATCATTCATAAGGCTAGTGATCGTATAAATATTACTCTTTTTCTATCCATAATTACCTATTTAATTATTATTGGACAACCAATTGATGAAGTCTAACTCATTCTATATTACATCATAACCTTTCTAAAATTGGGTTTGTTTCTCATAAGAGGAAGAAAAACATTGCTCTAGGACATCTAGTGACCTATGTCTTAGAAAAAAACTACAACATTGTTAATCCTGAAATTCCACTTGAAATGCCAATCTACTTTACTGCTGCCTCTTTTTATATCTTTTTGGGAAGAATGATAATTCAAGTGAGGATACTAAGAAAGAAGGGGGAGCACCTGCAGCTGCTCATGAACCTGACTTTCAGGAGATGGTTCAGTGCTTTGATTAGTTAGAGAGTCATTTTGATCAAATTCAGACTCACTTAAACTAGCATGATGCACAATATCAACAAGACATAGGTTGGATCTGAGGTTAGTTTGACCCAGTGAACACTAATGTAGCTATAATGAATAACTATTTCTTTATTTTCAATCAGCCTTCTCCTCCAGACCAGGGTCCCTCAGAGCTTTAGATGTACTTCTTTTGTGTTGTCTTTGCTAGTCCTCTCTAAATGTGACGATTTTAGTATTGATTTCAGTGTTTTGTGTACTTGTCTATATTTAGTTTTTATATTGATGTTGTAATGTTTTTATTGTAATGGAAATTGATATCAAAGAGCTTCAATGTATCTAATCTTAAATTGATATCAATAATAATAAAAAAATGTCTTATTTTAATTAGTTTTTTTTTTTCGTTATTTGAAATGTAAGTTTACCTATATGATAATCTTAGCCTAATTGATCTATAAAAGTGTTATAAATTAACCTACAATACAAAATTAATTTCATTATAAAATATAAATTTTTTTAAATTTTATGTTACCTTATAACTCGATCAAGTTAAGAATATCAATCTTATGTTCTTTTTAGGCAAACAAACTTTAAATATTATTATTACCAATTTGACGTCTTATTATTTTTATTTTGCTTTTCAATATAATTATCTTTGTAATTAGATTTGGGCAGTCCGATTTTATATGTCTAGGTTTCCTGCATTCATAGCAAATCATATCATTAAAAACTTTAATATTTTTTTTGAACTTACGTATGTTCCACTACTGGCCTCTCCTCTACTTCCTTTTAAAAAAACTTTTAAATATTCTAGTCATTAAGGCAATGTCATCCTCATCCTCAGCTTGTGACTGATCACTCTCTAAGTCCTCCATTTTTAGTGCTATGTTCTTCTCATTTCACTGTTCACCTAAATCAATCTTCCTTTGACTCACTCCTTGATTGTAAGTAGTTAATGATCCAAGAAGATTACCAATAGAGTAAATATTTAAATTTTTAGACTCTATCATAGTAGTTATTTTAATATCATAAACAGTAGACAAACAATGAAGAATTTTATTAATCATTTCAGCATTCTTTAGTTCCCTACCGAATGCATGTAAATAAGTGACTATTTGAATAAATCTTATGTACATTTCAGAAATTGATTCATTAAGTTTCATGCGAAATAATTCATAATCATGTAACATGATGTTTAATCTTGATTGTTTTACTTTATTATTCCTTTTCGTAAGTAATACAAAGTCTATCCCATATGTCTTTTCCACTTTTATAAGTGGAAGCTCGCATGTAATTTTTTGACTTAGTGCATAAAATAAACTTTTTAAATATTTTACATTTAATTGTGCTAAGTCATGTTCATCTACAGTCGAGCAAAGGTTGTTTCAACACTAATGTCATCAACTATTCTAGTTGGCCTAGTATACCCTTCTTGAACCAAAATCAATATGCGATAACTAGTGATTCCAGAAATGTAGACCTGCGTGTTTTCAAAAAATTGAAAGGGATATTATTAAAATAACAAGGGTCTAGTGATTGAATATCTTTCTGCTGTGTTTCTATTTCCAAAAGTAGCCATTCTCATTTTTCAAAAAGTAATCTAAACTTATGGTTTTGAAATAAAGCTCTGATGCCATTTGTTGATTCCGTATAGGTTATTAAACCTAAGCTATTGTCCCAAGACTAACCAAGAGGGGGGAGGGGTCAATTGGTAATTTAAAAATTTTCTTGGATTTTTTAATATAAAATCAATTTTAAAACTCGTAGCAAGTTAATTTATGTTTTTTTAAAAATAAAACTTTTTAACCACAATAAATAACTTGCAATAAATAAAATACAAAAATTAAAAGATAAATATTTACAGTGGTTCGGTCAAACATGACCTATATCCACTCTCTGAAGACTCCCTTTTCAGGTATTGCACTATTACCAAAGTGTCTATCATTTTTCCCCCACAGCAAGGTGAAGAAGCCTTTAAAAATCCTCTCTTTCACCAATCCTCGGTTTAGTAAAGAACTGTCATTCTTTCACACTCTCCACGTGTCGGTAGAGAACAATCATCCTTTCACACTCTTCAAGTGTCGCTAGAGAACTGTCATCTGTTCACACTCTCCAAGTGTTGGAAGAGTACCATCGTCTGTTCACACTCTCCAAGTATCGGCGGAGTACCAGATCATCTTCAAAGATCTTCTCACGAGCAACTAGAACGACAAGAAAAAGAGTGATAACCAAAATCATAAAGAGATTCTTACCTTTAAGTAACCTTCTAAACCTTTTTTACTCCACTTGCAAGAAATCTCTCTCAAATACTCTCTCACTCTCTCTCTTTCAATTGCCCTTGAAAAATCATGAAGAGAAGAAGAATTTCATGTCAGTTTTAGTGGACCTTTTATATCAAAGACATGAAAAACCATCCATAAAACTGAAATTTTTAATTTTGAGCGTACACGATCGTATGTTCGCATGTACGAACAGTTCAAATATTGTTGTGTTTAAACCTGCTATGAATCGGTACGAAATGATTTCGTACACGATGATTATCTGGTATGAATCAAGTTCATATGGTAGGAACAATTAGAAAAATTTTCACCTTCGTCTGGACGAAGAGGGACCCCTTGGATGGCGTACGTGTGATGACGACATCGTACGGTACGATCAGTTAAGAAAATTTTCAAGTTCGTCGGGACGAAAAGGGACCCGTCTAGTTCGTACTATGGACGACATACGTACGATGACGACATCGTACAATACGAGTCGTTCAGAAAATTTTCAGGTTTGTTTGGACGAAAAGGGACCCGTCCAATTCGTACCCTGGACGACATACGAATGATGACGACATCGTACGGTATGAACCATTCAGAAAATTTTCAGGGTTGTTTGGACGAAAAGGGACCCGTCTAATTCATACCCTTGACGGCATACGTACGATGATGACATTAGGCTGTTCTTATGCCCTCATTTAGTTTTTAGCAATTTTTTTGTTTTGCTTTCAGTGTTTGATGGATTTGTCACTTCTTACACTTAAACTTCTTTTCTCATATTTGTGAGTTCTATTTTATTTTGATTTTTGGATTGTAATTTTTTTCATTTATATAAAGCTGAATTTTGGGCTTATTATATCCCCACACCACAAAAAACATAATAATAATAAATAAATAATTAGCACGTTTGGTCAAAATTTTGAGAAAGAGTTTCTGCCATCCTAAGTTATTCGTGCCTCCCACACAAGGAGCATTTCCATTGACCCGCAATTTGTGTCTGCTATTACTAAGCTTGTAGGCGATCTCGGTGAATCTTTTTTTTTGGGACATTTAGGCTATTTAAGGCAAACTCACACACACAACGCATACACAAAGACTCGAAACTTGAACCTCTTAGTTGGAAGCCTAAGCTCTCAACCAATAGATAAGGAGAGTTGTGTTGGTGAACCCTTTCGACATTGCCTTCTTCTTAAACCCAAACCCACAGAAAAATGCGGAAACAGCAAGATGTCAGCCTCCGTTAATAACATAGCCGCCGCCTTCTCCGCTTCGCGCATGGTCGTACCATCAGCTCCGGCGTTCTCAGCATCGCCGTGTCATCCGGCCTCGGCAGCGTTCTCCTCTACGGCCACGTCCTCCGGCGGCCTTGCAATCTCCGTCTCATGGAATCCCCATTTTACCCTACAGCGCTCCCGTTGCTCCTCCCTTCTTTCCAGCTACGGTCTGCCCGGTCCACGCCCTACCTCCTCCCTTCTCCGCCCCCCGGTTCCTTTGCAGCGCCGCCGTGGCGTGATTGCCGTTGGCGACAGCCTCCCCTATGCGAGTCTCTCCTACCTCGAAGACAACACTGTCCGTACCATGTCCTCGGTCGAGCTCTCCCAAGGTGGGAAGGCCGTCATCCTCGGCGTTCCCGCGGCCTTCACCCCACGCCGTTGGTGTCCCGGCAAGTTGACCGCGGAAGAATTTGTCGGGAGAGCTGGTGAGATGAAGGGGCGAGGCGCCGCAGTGGTAGCATGTGTCTCTGTTAACGATGTATTCGTTATGAGAGCTTGGGGGGAGAGCATCGGCGCTTTCCCTTTGTTCGATGGAAGAGCTGGCGTGAAGATGCTGACTGATCCCGACGCCGGAATGGCGCGAGCGATGGGATTGGCGGCAGATTTCACTGGGGGTGAGGAGGGCTTTGGCTTGCGGTCAGATAACTACTGCGTTGTAGCTGCTGATGGAATTGTGAAGGCTTTATTCAGGGAAGACAATGGACTTGGGTTTGATGATGTGATCAAGGCGATATAAGGTACGGGAATTTAGGGTACTTTTTTGGTGGAATGGACTAAATAGACATTTTGATGGTTGTGTTCTTTGATTTATGAAGGGAGATGGTGAGTGCTAATTCCATCTGATGTTTCCCTTCAAGTTTTGATATACTGATTAAAGAAACACTTCCTTGTTTTATTAATGAAGTATCTAAATCGACTTTCCTATGGTGCTTCCTGTGCTTATTAACTTTGAAGGGATGCTGCAAGTAGGATTTAACTCAACTAGGATTCAGTAAATTCTATGAAATTGGATTTACTAAATTTGAAGCAGTTAAATTCTGAAAATTATTTTGTTATTTATTTCATTATTTAAGGATTAGATGATTGTGATATTTTGATGATATTAACATATCATATATTAATTTTAATTAATTAATTAATTCATAATTAGCATAAATTAACATCTCAATTAATCGTTATTTAATAATTTATTAAGCTTATTAAGTAATACATTTTGTTTAATAAAGTTCTAGGGGACATAAACTAATTTAATCAGAGCCCTCATCATTATCCTCCTCCTTATAACACTTACTCAAAACTCTCTTTCATAGAGGGCATGCATTATGTTTGTATGTACATACATGCTCATGTAGTTCACTCACATGTATCCAAATATGTTCTTTCCCAAGGGATTTAACTAGGAGGGACAATTTCTCAAAGCAGTGTGTATCAACACAAGCCTTGACCTACGAGGTTGTCACAGACACGAATTCGTGAGAAAGCAGGTATTCATTCTAGCAGAGCTCGTGATATATTAGCCTGCTCCTTGAGAATTGGATCAAGGATGTGCTCATTTGCACTGAATCCTTCCATAATACTTACCTAAAAAAACTCTCCTCTAGGAGCACTTGCCCCAAGAGGATTCACTCATCTCAGCAGCTGTTCTCAGCTAGGGGCCATGTGCCTTCATGGATGTCCAAGTTAAAGCTACAGAAAGCACACACCTTCAAAGAGCACGATTATGACTGTCAACTATATTCTTCTCTTGCTCACAACTAAATTCGCCTAGGAGACTTGCCCCTCATTCTGAGTGACTCTCCTTCACACCCCAAAATTTCATTCTTATATACTTGCTCGAGGCACTTTCCTCTTAGGACTCATTTAAGGTAGTCACTAGGAGTTTTCTCAAGGCACATTAAGTCATGTTAGAGATAGAGAGCCACATGTCTTCCTTTCAGCATAGTCCATATGTTTTAGTCTGTGCTTATCGTATCTTGTGTTATTTTTTCATTTTTGGTGAGTGTACCCTTAGTCATAACTTAACCCAATAAATAATAGGTGAAATGACATATTTTAGAATTTATGTTATTTTTACTATTCGTAGAGATTTTTGAGCTTCTCTCCTATTCTCCATACTTGCTAATTACCTCACTCTATTCTATTGCTCTAGCTTGCTAAACCTATTAGTAGGGTAAGGTGTTTTCCATAGGTAAATTTGAATCCAACATCTTCTATGGTGTGGTGCATGTGGATTAATATCATTTACCAGAAGATAAGCTTCATGCGAAGAGTAACATAACTGATAGTCATTGCTAAAGGTGGCTTTACACTGAGGTGCTAACTTTAATGCCTAATGCTGATCATAATCATAATCCACTAGTGATAAGGAATACCCCCTTCTGCCCATATGATAAGGAGAAGGGAGCTAGAGCCATCCAACATGTTTTTTATGAAATTGTAAATGTCATGTCTCTCGCCAAATTTAAGATGCCTTACGTGGAATCATACCAGAGAAGGTTTAACTCCGTTGATCATGTTGTGTGTTATGAGTCAACAACATCATTGATTGATGCCAACGACGTGCTGAGGTGGCGATTATTCTTCACCACATCCAAAGAGGCTGCCCTTTGGTGGGGTTTTCCGCCCACCACTGGGCAATATCACATTTTTCTTAGGGTTTAAGAAGACGTTCATCACACATAAATGCCTGGGTGCCACTCAAGATATTGTAAGCTTTTTCAAATGAGATAGGAGTTCGAAAAAGTCATTGAGAAGCTTCATTTCTAGGTTCTAGAGGAAAATGCTGGAGATAAAAAATTTTGAGTTGAAATTTGCATAGGATGCTTTAACTAAGGGATGGTAAGAATGACCATTCAAGTATGCTCTTGAACCACAACAAATGTGAGCATTGGCCGGGTTGTTTAATTTTATCAATAACCATATAAGCACGAAAGAATATAATAGCATGGTCGAGTCTTTCATAGCCGTTGGCCCTAACGAACTAGTTGCAAGGTTGATTGACATCAAAATCATAGACATAATAGGGGCCACCTAAGGGTCCATAAGGCTGAATGGTGGCAGCACATGCAATAGAACTGATGCCATTATTGCTAGCAAAAGGTTACCTTCGTTAGGTATGTCAGGATTACCAGCCACATGAATAAAGCACCACGCATTGCTTGCACACAAAGAGATGAGGGGGCTCACCCTATTTACTAATATCTGATCATCACTCCTGTGCGTATATTTATAGTTGAGTTGTTGGAGGTCATTCAGAAGAAGTTCTTCAAGCACCCAATGCCAATGAAGGCGGGCGGTCATTCAGAACAAGTTCTTCAAGCACACATCAAAATTTTATGCATTTCAGAAGGACTTGGGGCATGATGTGAAGGAGGGTAGATACCTTCAAAGCTTCATGGAAGATTTAATAAAAAAAAGAATGATAAAAGAGTTTATTATAGTAAACCCAATAAGATCATAAGGAAGGGCGACTACAAATGTTGTGCTACATCAATAATTCCTTTTGAAAGGGGCAGTTCTTATCATGTGAATGTTTTTGTTATTGAAATTATATATGCCTTTCTCTTTTAGTATGTAATTTCAAATTTTCTTGACTATTAAATTATTGTTTAAAATGAAATGGGTATGCTGTTTTTTGCATTAGAAGCCACCAATTTTTGCACAGATTATGTAATGACAACCTATTTATCATAGTTTTTTGGTTTTTGTAGTTTTTGAATGAAAAGTGATCATCTCCTGTGCTTAGATTGTGTTGGAAACCTATTAATTATAGCTTCTTGTATTTTCATTGTGCATTTCATACTAGTTTGCTTAGATATATTCTGGCCATTAAATTGTCCTTATTACTTTGGATTTGTTTAATAATGTTGTGCTATGATCTACGCAATGAAACCATCCTTAGTCCCTAAGAGGTATATATAACCATATAACCGCATAGCCTATGGCTTTGAAGCCATACAGAAGATGCACAATAATAGTATTTTCCTATTAGATGTTTCATAAACAAATTGTGGTTCTAATATATTAGGTCTTTGAAAAGTATAATAAAAAACTTTTCAAGGATAAAGAAAGAAATTATTTTAGTACTGGAAATTGAGATTGCATATATGAATGATATTTGTAAATGGAGGATGGTGGCCGGTCATCCTTGAATGACCGGAACACCTATTCCCTTAGATCTACCGCGCGTCCAACTTTGTTGGATACAAAAGGTAGGTTTACATTCAATCGCAGCTTTTCTAGTTTTTTTAACTCTCCTCTTGTGATTAGAGAGGGAGGTTTGGCTTCTAAGGAAAAAGTTTTGATGGAAAGTGGTAAAGGAAAAGAAGTTTTGGGTGCTTTGAAAAGTAAGTCATGTTCTTCTTTGCCGGTTTTGATCCCTAAAGCTAATGATTTTGAGGCTTCCACCTCTAGTGGCTCCGATCACAATTTGAATAATTCTAATGTGTGGATTAAAAAACCACACATTAAAATTAATTCGTCTGAATTCATGAAAGATTTAAAGATGATAATGTGGTTAAACTTGACTTGGAAAAAGAAGAATCCAATGTTCATGTTTTAAGAAACTCTTTTGTGGTGAAGATCCTTTGCAAAAAATTACCCCTCTCAAATTGTGCTTTTGAATTAAGGAGGCAATGGGGTAAACTTGGAGGATTTCATATTTCTTCTCTGGGATTAGATTGGTTCCTGTGCTCGTTTCAATCTCAGGAAGCTATGGAGGAAGTTCTCAATGGAGGTCCGTGGTATGTGAGAGGTTTTGTCATTGGACTAGATAAATGGACTCCCAATTTTTCTCCTTATTCCTTGGAAGGTATTTCTTCTCCAATCTGGGTTCGTCTTCCTCACTTGCCATTACACTACTGGGACGAAACCAACATTACGAGAATTATTTCGAGTATAGGGACTCCGTTATTATTGGATGGCAATTTGTTTAGATGGGGGAGAAGGGAATTCGCGAGAGCATGTGTTCGTGTAAAATTGAACTCGAAACTCCCTTGTGGTATTTGGGTTGAAGGTATTCATGAATTTTTTTTTCAAAAATTTGAATTTGAGAATTTATCTTCTATCTGTTTGAAATGTGGTAGAATTGGACATAGAGATGTGGTATGTCCAAATGGTTTTCAAAAGCCAAATTTTATTGATAAGGAAGTTCCCAAAGAACCTTTATTAGTTGAAGGTAGTTCTTACGGACCTTGGATGCATGTCAGTTTCAAATCCAAAAGAAATATTAAAAGTGTTAAGAGGTATTCTCATCTAAAAAGTAAAAAGTGGTGCAGAAGTTCAACCAGATTGCCGGAGTTATGGTGGATTAAAACTCAGAACGGCTTCCATTGAAGACAGCTGAAAAAATTGCTGAAATTATGGGAGGAGATGAAGTTGCTGTTACAAATATTGAAGACAATCAATCTGGTTCATTGATTCCGGAAATTAGAAATGAAATTATTGAAGTTGATTTGGTGAGTACAATTGAGGAGGAAGACTACCAGAATTCAACATAGCAGGGCTGGAAATTCGGGATTTCAAATTTCAAAATTTGAAATCCCACAAAGCAAGGAGGCTGATAAGGCTATTGAGGAGCTTCAGCCGGATTTATCCCCAACAAATCCAGCTGGACCAAAGTTTGTTATTCAAACGGACAATACTAAGATTGCTGAGAATTTGAAGCTTCAGCCGGATTTATCCCCATCAATTCCAGCTGGATTAAAGTCTGTTATTCAAACGGACATTCCTAAGATT